AATTTCTTTAAATATATTCTCTATAAATGCACTTATTGTTTTTTTTCTTTTTAAATATATAAACAAGCTTAATTTCAAGTATATAAAACTCTTAATAAAATTATTTTTATAAATACTTATCTTTTGTAAATGCATATTTTTCAAAAATTTTCTATGATCTTGAAAGATGTATACTTAAAGAGGTGTTAATATCAAATATTAAAAAAATATTAAAAGTAATTTTATATATTAGTTTTAATATCTATTGTATATTAAATATTGATTGAATATTATTATTTAAATATAATATTGTTAATAAATTTTATTATTTGGTTGGTCTTATTTATTGCTATATAGAAATTATATTTAAAACAATATTATTTAGAATATAAGTAATAAGTTTTTAAAAATAACTTGATTTTAAAAGTAATTGAATTATTAAGTTTGTTGTTATAAGAACTTTTAATAAATTTGGTTACAAGATTAATTATTTTTAGATTAAGAAAATAACATATAAATATTTTTTTGTTACAACTTATTAGACTAGCCTATATTATTTCATAAATATTACATTATTAGAACAAAGCGACATTCAAAAGTTATGTTATTTAATAGATCATTGAGATTAAAAATCCTAGAACCAACTATTTAACAGATCGTAATATGACTTTGAAATTATATTTAATAATTAATACTTAATAATTTATTAAATTATAAATAATTTCATATAATTGTTTTCTTTATACCACCTGCTTTTTCACATACAGTAGTAACTATGAAAACTTTTAAAAACCTTTTCTTATTTTGATCAATTAATACGTTTAATTTGAAAAGTTTTTATTGCGCATAAATTGATTTCAAGTTTACTACATTAAGAGTATATTGTGCCTAATATTAACTGCTTTAACAATGGATTTTCCGATATCCGTGAAAATCTCAAATGTCATCTTTAACAATTTATAATGATATCCACTATGATCCCAATTCCACCAATCTACAACAAACTCTTGATCTAATTCTTCCATCCGGCAAGGGAGAATCTAAACCACATCCACCCGTTATCATTATTATTCATGGTGGGGCATGGATCAGCGGCGACAAAAAAGAATTTGCAAAATTAGGTAGCACTATATGTAAATTAAGTAATTTTGCAGTTGCCCTCGTGAACTATCGCTTGAGCACAAAAGACGCACCTGAAATTAAGCATCCAGCTCACGTTGAAGACGTAGCAGCCTCAATTGCTTGGATCTCAAAACACGGTGAACAGTATGGGTATCTGGGTGATAGGATTTATTTGATGGGCCATAGTGTTGGAGCTTTTATTTGTGGACAACTCATCTTCATGCCAGAATTTATCGGGCGTCATGATCGGAAATTATTTCAATCAATCCGCAGTGTGATTGGAATCCAAGGGATTTATGATATCCCTTTATTGCTTGAAGTTTGGCCGAAATATATCGACTTTGTGGAATTGGCTTTTGGTAAAGATGAATCTGTATACAAAAATTCATCACCAACGAATAATTCAGTCGCTGTGAGTGTACCATCACACCTAATTATTCATTCGATGGAAGACGAGTTGGTGGATGTTGATCAGAGTTATAATTATTTTGAACATGTGAAGAAATGCGGTGGAATCGACCTGGAGATGAATAATTCTCTCAAGGGAAATCATGAGGGCATCTTACAGACCGACGAACTAGCGAATGTAGTTGTGAAATTCATATTGATCAAGGAATCAAAAGAATGAATTCAGTTTGTGTAAGCGACGACCACATTTTATCAATATCGTATTTGTTAATGAGTTTGTTTTTAATCATTAAAACATCAAAATCCATTAAGTGATTGATTCCGAAATCCGGCAAAAAGTAAATTTATTGAAACACAAAACCCGCATTACTAATCCATTTAAATATATTCAACAAAAATGTCACAGATTGATAACGTACAAGTATATATTAAATAAAAACACCGCATTGTGTGAAATTAGGTTATCTCGATTTGGCAAAACCGACCTAATTAATCAAATTAACCTATTAATAAGAAGAAAAGGAGCGTGTTAAACGTAAAAGATTAAACGGAAAATGCATACCCGGTTATTTCCAAGATCATAGATCGTGTAGTATTTACGAAGGAAAGCATCTCCAACTAATTGATCGAATGAAAAATTTTCAGCTCACGTAAGTTGAAAACGAATAATGTTTAAGAAAAATACAAACCAATCCAAATAGGCCCAAGTGGCTCTGGAATATCGAGACCCATAAATGCCGAAATACATTGGTTTTGAGCTAATTATAACCATAAAGAGTATAATAAATATTATGTAGTCATTGAATTTTTGTGAAAACAATTTGAATTACCTTTCAGGATATAATCTGATCCTTTCAATGTGAATGCTTTTTTGTTGAACTGGAAAGTAAAATCGGGCAAAGAAGGAACTTTATCACATTCAATAATGTATTGACCGGCAAAATTTTTCTTTGCTCCGATTTGTTTGTTTATTAAATCAGCGAATGTGGTGGGAACGGCAATTAAGGAAGTACCGGTGTCGATAGCAGCTCCGGTACCTTCCATGTCGACTTCTTCGCCATCGAAAATGACCTTTTCAAGTTCGACTTCCCAATATGCCTTTCTGCGAACGTGTGCCCAGTGGATTTCACCAGAATAGCGAGATTCATCGACACCTCCAAAAATGAGCTCTCCTCCTACATCTCCGTCTTTCTCGGCATCGCCGATCCAAAATGAGAAGACTGGTTCATCAATGATACCACGATTCACCATGTGGTAAAACGGAGGAACGACACCCTTGACAGAAATACGATCATAGGCTGTAGAATATCATGAATAAATTTTAATGTCATCATCTAACATTAAGGTCATTATCATATCCAAATGTGAAACATACCAAGTCCAAATATTCCATCAAACCTTCCGAATGCGAATGTCAATCCAGGCTCTTTGACAGACTCGCCAAAGTCTTGATTTTTGATCTCAAGGTCTCCGACCGTCAAAACATCCTATATAATATAAAGCGTTGAGAATAAACTTATTGTATGAACAAGTACGACCAATCGAGTAGGATATACTTACATTACTAATAATTCCTTCAAGACTACCTGAGCCATAATGAATAGCAAACTCTGTTCCATTAGCTTTAAAGGTGCTAGATTGACCAGAGTCATACCGACGATGAAGGAAACATGCGATCGATGTACAATGAGTCGATGGAACCCAGAGGTTAGATGAACCCGTATCGAAGATAACACTGAATGTTTGGGGTGGTGTGCCGAGGGCAATTTCACCAAAGTACTAAAATGACGTAATCGTGACGTGAACTTTCCAAACTAATGCCAAAAAATACAGATTCTTTTCGACTTACCTGAGCGTTCATGTAATTAGTCAATGGAACCCCATGTTCTACCATTCCGTCGAGATCGGAAACGAACATTTGATTCGCTTCTTGCATACGACGAGAACTTCCAAAATATTTTTGGGTTAAATACTCATCAGACTGAGAATAGCGGTTCATTTTTTGGGCTGGGGTTTCCGGAATTTTTTTCAAAGTCATTCTGAATGACAAAATATGCGAGTTAACGAAGGTTGTTGTGGTCACTATTGGCTTAATCTCGGTATACTCACTTGTGAATTGCTGCGTCTGTTGAAGCGCCTAACAGAACGGCTATAACAAAAGCTATTCCAAATTTTACCTTCATCTTTGTTCCTGTTATTATATGATATTGAAAGAAAAATGTCTTTTAAAGAAGAACGTCAACTATTTAAAAGATATATTAGTTTGAGATAAGCGTCGTCAAGAAAATCATGTACAGGAAGGGCACTGGAGGTTGAGACCAAATTACGTATTGTTGTTATTTATACCAATTCACAAATCATTACTTATATGCTATGTTATTATTGTACGCCTTATTAGTCGTACGTACGTAAGTACTTTAAATGGAGATGGAAAATCCATCGGAGACAGCATGTGTACCACACGTTAGCGCCAGATATGACGTGATTGGCATTTTAATAATAATTTTACAATTTTCACCTCCCGATGTGAGAAAAAAACAAAAGTTACTGATTTTTTATTAGCAAGTTACTTGATTTGGATTACAAATTTCCTAATCGGATAAACCAATTAATATATCTTGTGATGAACCGGATAATCAAATAAAACCTAATTCCTAGTGGGCTCAGCTCGCTGAACCCTTGAAATTGAATCCAAATATGAATAAACAAATCCAATCTTTACCATGCATATCGTATCCCATATAGGTTCAAGTCCCAAAGTCGGGTTAAAACCTGACCCTCCAATAAATATTTGAGCGAGACATTTCTGGCACTATTCGCGTCCCGATCCATCTCCACCTCGCATGAATCACATTTAAATGGATTAGTAATGCGGGTTTTGTGTTTCAATAAATTTACTTTTTACCGGATTTTGGAATCAATCACTTTAATGAATTTTTATGTTTAAAATGATTAAAAACAAATCGAGGTTTACGATTAACTCATTAACAATACGATATTGGTAAAATGTAGTCGTCGCTTACACAAACTGAATTCATTCTTTTGATTCCTCGATCAATATAAATTTCACAACTACATTTACTAGTTCGTCGGTCTGTAAAATGCCCTCATGAGTCCCCTCGAGAGAGTTATTCATCTCCAGGTCGATTCCACCGCATTTCATCACATGTTCAAAATAATTATAACTCTGATCAAAATCCACCAACTCGTCTTCCATTGAATGAATAATTAGGTGTGATGGTACCCTCACAGCGCCTGAATTATTCGTTGGTGATGCACTTTTGTATACAGATTCGTCTTTACCAAAAGCCAATTCCACAACGTCGATATATTTCGGCCAAACTTCAAGCAATAAAGGGAT